ATGTTGCCTACTAAAAGTTGGCAACATTTATTCCAACGAACTCGAGATGAGATTGACAAGAATGTTATTATCTATCTTATTTTTTTACAGCTATTGTTTAATGCGTATAAAAATAATGCAATGACCTGAAGATATATCGATTACAGTTTGAAGGTTTTCTATTCTAGGTACGTTGATGAGAACGCATATTTGTAATAGCAAACAGCCAAGAAAAAATGGACCAAATAATGGCAACCTAAAAAGGAACAAAAAAACGAAATAATCATGAAAAAATTACGAGCAATATATTTTTATTCTCAACTCTACCTGAAAAAAGTGTGAATTCGACTAAAATATTTATTGTATCTGACAGCCAAGTTGCATTAAAAATTCTGAAGTAGACAAGTTGTGAGTTTTTCATAGTTTGTAAATGCAAGCGATCCCTAAGCAAGTGGCAAAGCATAAAAAAGTTTATTAGGAGTGCCAGATGATAAAGGAGTTATTGGTTTCGATATTGCTTTTATGCTTGCTAAAGAAGGAGCTAATATTCATTTTATCAGACCAGAACCATTTTGAGGTATGTGTTTTCTGGTTCAGCTTTTGGACTAAAGCATATTGTATGGAATGCACAAAAAATCTTTTATTAGATCATAGTGTGAAAGGCATATAATCAACAAACATCAAATAAATATGAATATGATCACATCAACACAATATTTGAGTTAGTATATATATATATATATATATACATATATATATATATATATATATATAATATATATATATATATATATATATATATATATATATATATATATTATATATGTATATATGTAAGGCGTAGGTGTTTTAATTACTCTGTTCAAGTTGAAGAGGAAGATCAGGATATGAATTGGTCGCAGTGATTGAAGATTGATAAATTTGGCAAGTAACTTCTATAAACAAACTATCACATCAAGAATGAGAAATAAAGTCACAAAATCATCTTCGTAAGAAGATCTTGGTGAGAATTTTATGTTCCCAAAATTCATGCCAGTGGGAAGGAACAGGATAGAAGAAACATTCTTGTTTTACCTTTATCATATGAGTGCAATAAATTGTTAATAAAATATAAATTGTTAAAAAACAACAACTACGAATTAAAACCGACGAAACACTAACTAATTAAATACAGTAAAATGAGGAAAATAGAAACAAACAACATGTTTATTTTTTTTAAACTATAAACATTACTTTAACATTGAACGTACATATTGGTTTTAACAATCCATAAGTAGTGATTTGTAGATATCTAGCTAAATCTAACTTACGTAGTTTTGTGGTTTTGCTTTGAAGCTTTGAAGTATTATAGGCACATGATTTTAACCAGCAATATTCATATTCACCTTACAATCATTTTAGCTACGCCACTGTACATGTTATACAATTTTTCTATTAATGATAATAGATTGATATGACACGATTTGCTCTATCTAGAATCTATTTACACTTGAAAACTAAGTGTACCTACATTTATACAAATGCTGCTTTTTAGAAGCAAAAAAACAATACAATTGGGTTTTTAACACATATTCGTCTAATTATAAATCCATGGCATTGGTTGGAAAATACTATTCCTTAAAAATTCGAGTAAATAAAAATCGTGTTTATTCGGTTAAAGAAATAATAATAAAAGACTTTGAATTATTAGGAAATATAAAACAAAAACTCTAAATAATAAGTGATGATCTTACTACCAAATAAAAAATAAATTTAAATAGAACAGTAAAAATAAAAAAATGTATTTGTAAAAAATGTAAAATATTTAGGTAAAAAGAAATAATTTTTTCATGAAAGTATGGTTTTATTTTCATGGTTTAATTTTATGAGATCAATGTTTAAAAACTAATCGTAATTACCCAAAAATGAGATAAGATGTTTTATATTTCCCAAAAAATTCGTCCCATAAATTTGATTTTTTTGAAAGTTTTGAAAATTTTATATAGAAGTAATTTGTTTAAATAATCGAAAAAAACCGTTAAAACTAGAATGGGCATTAGAAAAACCAAAATGGATAAATAATTTCAAAAGTTGTCTCACAAGTTGGTTTTCGATACACTTAAGATACCCACAAAATTGGGTTAAAAAATATTAGTTGATTAGTTATTCTACTTGTTTATTAAAAAACCTTTTGTTTTTAATTAAAAAGTTGATTTTTGTAATTTTAAAATTGCGGTTCACACCTTTAAATTTTACGGCCCGATAAAGGTTAATATTTTTTGGGTTGCTGTAATTTTCAGGTAATATTTAGTAAACAAAATAATTTAAAGCTTTATTTTAGTTTAGATTTAAACACCTAGTGCCATCTAGGCGAACGCCTTCCGGTAGAGATTAATCAAATAAGTAACACCGAGCCCAAGTTTCCAAGTTTATTTTAATTTCAGTCGCAGTATATATATATATATATATATATATATATATATTATATATACATATATATATATATATATATATATATACATATATATATATATATATATATATATATATACATATAATATATATATATATATATATATATATATATATATATAAAATATATATATATATATATATATATATATATATATATATATATAGCCTTTTTATTCAGAAATTAATAGAAACAAGAAAAACAATCCAATTTTGCACTGACAATCAGCGGAACGAAATACATTAAGCCGTATAATTTTCAATTAAAATATTTCATTGAAAGGAATACGTAACTAAGTTTCATTGAGTAAATAAAATTGTGACCTTTATTTATAAATAAGTAGTCTGCATAATTAACATTGCTATTATATTGGAAATTTTAATCTCACGGGACTTCAAATAAAAAAATAATCGATATTGTCTGTCTAAAATTACTCGCAAATAGAAAGCAATTTGTATTTTGCGGTCCAAAAATAGTACTATTATTCCACTCTTAAATTCTTAAATAAAGTTTTTTTCGAGAAATTTTATTCTGTAAATTTCTTAACTTTCATTTCTGAAATAAAAATACATACAAACTAAAATTGTTTTTTAAAAAATCCTTTATAAAAGGTAAGTATATATATTCTAAAAACACCCTTTCGGGCTACATCCTACCTAGGACATATAGACACATATATCACTGCCAGCAACCCCTGAGAGTCCTGCGTTGCCATCCAGTAAATATAAATATGTTTAAAAGCAATATCATTTGAATTTATGAACAAATATGAAATAATTAACAAATTTACTATTATTGAAAGGGTTTTACCCACATATTTAGTGGCTATACTCATGTATGCCTAGTAATTACACTGATGATGGACACTGATTAGTCCGAAACCGTATTATGATGTCATGATGTAGCTCGAATGTGTCTTTTTAGAATATACATAAATATACCTTTTAGAAAGGATTCTTTTAAACAAAAATTTTTGTGATTCTTGGAATACAGCCAACTACAGGAATTTTCTTTGTGAATATACATACTATTAGTAGAGATATTCAATTTGTTTATACCATAAAAAATAAAATAAAAAAACCTAGGTTTCGAAAAAAAAAATTTAGGGCTTGAGTGCAAATTTTCCTAATTTAGAAATTTTTTAAAAATAGAAATTTTCCATTGAGGATGTATTAACAAATTATTGTGCGAAAACCATTGTACCGATTGACTTTTTACGGTATTTTAATATATTTAACAAGTTTCCTTTCAGAATATGAAGGTGGCAGATATAAACTAACAGGTTAAACCTTTTCGAGGTGCGTGTCTTTGGCAATTATTGCAACTATTGATATTCTTCAAAAGTATAATTTTATTTTTAATGTTTCTTATGTAAAATTTAATAAAGAAAAAATTGTTTTTTAACCTTCCAAGGCAAAAAATTTTCAAGTTATAAATGAAAAAGTAGAAAAAATCAACATTTTTACTGTAATTTTTACGAACGGATTTTTGATGTATCTATTTACAATTCGATAAAGATCAAAGATTTTTTCTAGATATTCTTCGACAAGTTGGCAGCGCAGTGTGAACGGCGCAGTGTTGAATTGAAAAACCCATAAAGTCTACCAGATTTAAGAAGAAAAGAAATTCTCGGCGAACATGATTGGGGAACATTTTAAACCAACCTTAAAAGCGAAAGTTGCCACTTTCGCTTTTAAGGGCGAACATGATTGGGGAACATTTTTAAACCTTAAAAGCGAAAGTCACCACTTTCGCTTTTAAGATTTAAAAAAAGCGAAAGTCATCATCCATAATATCATCGTAGGGCATCAAATTCAACATAATATTTCGATTTGTAGTCAAATTCTCTATCTTAAGGTATGCATACCGTAAACTATCAACTATACCTAAAAATAATACTTATACTATGAGAATCAATCACATGGAACCAAGATGGAAATACAACTGGATGGAAATCGAATCGAGTTTGTAGAAAATTTTAGATATAAATAGAAATCGTTAACATAAGCTCATCAGCAATATATTAATGGGATATACTGGGACAAACTAACAAAGAAAAATTAATTTCTAATGCATGGTAAGATACTGAAATTTCTGAGAGAAAGAAAACTATTAATATTTGTAAGTAATACAAACAGTATCATAAACGATTATTTGAAAAATTAGAAAAAGAAGACCAAAAGCTACGTTAAAAGATATACTGTAATATAAATTCAAAATCTTAGTGAAGGTAGGAATCAAAATAAAATGTAAGTATAATGTTCAAAGATTATTCATGAGTTCCAAAGTTATAAAGGCCCATAATCGGTTGAGTAAAAAAAAATAAGGAAAAATCAATACAATAACAAATATCCCCTCTATAAAAATACTAAAATAGTGCGCATGCGTTGTAAAATTAGTGGCAAAAAATACAAATCAAAATGAGTGAAATCTCTCTCTGCCATATTTTATGTAAAACAAAACAGTTTTTCCTGAAATACTGAAAAATTATTGCTATTAACATTTAGAAAAGAGTCGACAAACTTGTACAAATAAATGTTAAATAAAAAAATAAAAACTAGGTACTTACAAGTTAGAGTTCTTTTTGCTCTTCCGATTAATCCTTTAATAGAGAGTCTTTGGTAATCAGGATCTCTCCCTTCTAAATTTTTCAATGTCTCCAATGCCTTATCTTTATCCTTAAATCCTAATCCAGGAACTGTATCAGGTTTGTTTTCAGACATTATTACTCTTTGTACAAGAAAGCCGCTTCACACGAGAAAGGTTTAAAATAATAAGTGAATATTGTTTAATTAACTAGCAATTGATAGCAACTATCATACAACTCGATCTAACGACTTCCTCTAACTGAGTTCGTTGTTTCTAATTTAAATTCAGAAGTTAGGAATACGTTTGTTACCTACTACTACTAAATTCGATAATTTTATTGTGGTATATGTGAAGCGGCACACACAGTGTCAGTTACTAAGACCCGCTCCTGTTAGTAGAAACAGCTTTAACCTTCGTCCGATTTATAAGCCAGTTTAGGTGAAATTTTTGTGAAATAAATCTGGCAAAAAAAAGTTAAGTTGAAAATGTTTTTTAAACACAAATCGAAGGAAAATATAGCAAGCACGTGCTTTTTTATTAGATTTATTATTAGGTATTAGAATTTTTATTACTTTCAGAAACTTTTATTTAAAAATAAAAAGGTGTCCACTGATATGTACAAACCAAAAGTGAAATCATCCAGCCTCAAGGGAAAATAACTAACAATAATGTATCAAGAAAAGGTGGTATAACATCAAACCCTTTATATTTAAATAAGATTCATAAAATTTTATCTCAACACTAACATCTACAAAACTGATGGAACAAACGGTGCCTATTGAAATCAACCAGATAGTCATAACATTGGATACCATCACCTTAATTATTAGGTTAGACATTCATGAAATCTTTATTTCTTAAAAAAACTATATTGAAACATTTTGGGGTAAACATAAAGAAATAGACTCTGCTAGCAGGCGTAGAGGTATAGCAGGTTTCTGTTAGTTTTTGAGCCTACAACGAAGAGAACCAATCCCTATGCTTTATTTACTTATTATTAACCCTAGTTTGACTCGAGGTACGGATTTCATTTATCTGAGGCCTTTGGATATTCTTAAAGATATAGTTAAATACTAAAAAAATTGAGCTATCTGGCCCTCTTCCTCTTCTTCTTGATGTGCCTATTCGTTACGAATGTTGGCGATCATCATGGCAATTTTTATCTTATCTGCAGCAGCGCGGAAAAGCTGCACAGATGTTGTATTGAACCAGATTCTGAGTTTTTTTTTAACCAATATGTCCCTCTTCTTCCTGGACCTCGCTTTCCAAATATTTTTCCTTGCAGGATGGCTTGAATGAGAGCATATCTGAATTAATTTCGCATAATATGCCCGAAGAATTGTAACTTTCGAGATTTAATGGTGGTCAGTACCTCTCGGTTCTTATTCATTCTTCTGAGGACCTCTTCATTTATGACTCGGTCAGTCCACGGGATCTTAAGTATTCTCCGATATAGCCACATCTCAAATGCTTCCAGTTTTTTGCAAATATATTCAAAAAGGACAGAGAAGACGTAGCATCGCAGCATTCTTACTTTTGTATCAAGAGAAAGGTTGTGACTCTTGAAGATCCCCATCCGATTGAAGGTGGATCTAGCTTTTCCGATGAGTGCTCTAATCTCCTGGCTGTTGGTTCATTCTTCATTTATTATGATGCCGAGGTAGTTGTTGTGCGTCACTCTTTCTACAGGAGATTGGTTGACGTAGAGTTGACCTTCTGTTATCCTTTTCTTGTTAATTATCATAAGCTTTGTGTTCTTAACGTTTATATTGAGTCCATATTGTTGACTGTAATACGCGATTTTGTTCATAAGAACTTGTAAGTCTTCTAAGTTGTCCGCAAACTATAGTGTCATCTGCATGGCCCTCTTAAAAATTACTAATTACAAACGAAGTCAATTGTAGTAAGAAACAACATAGGAGAATATAAAGTGTGAGTTTATTGGATATAACTACAGGAAAAATATTAAAGCGAAAATATTACGAGCCCTAACAACTAAATAATGGGACAAACTAAAATACATGCAAAATTCAGATAGTTGACAGTTTATTTTATTTTAATTATGTTTTTAATGTATTACTATGCAATTAGTAAATTACTAATAATATAGGTTTAACTTGTTAAACTTTTTGTTCGGGCTGTTAGGCCGTTGTCTTCTGAGATTAATTCTCGACGTTTCGCCAACACTAGGGGTTATCATCTTCTAGAGATGATACTGCTTCGCTTGTAACCTGAAACTGAAGCAGTAACATCTCCAGAAGATGCCAACCCCTAGTGTTGGCGAAATGTCGAGAACTAATCTCAGAAGACAACGACCTAACAGCCCCAACAAACAATTTAACAAGTTAGACGGTGCCGTAAAAGCCTAACGCATTTTATCAATATAGGTTCAACTAACAACACAAAATAAAATATACTTTATCATCCAGCATCAAATGTCCACTAATGAATATAGGCCTCTTCCTAGTGTTTCCAACCCCGTCTTTCTTGCGCCACTCTCATCCAATTTGTTATTCCTAACATAAATTGCTCCATTCTTCTCTGTGTGACTCTCAGTGATTCTCCGACATTATCAAAAATATACTTATTCTAACAGAACTAATTAATAATGAAGAATGTTTATTTTGTTGGCAATTAAATATTGGGGCAAGAACGAATATTATTTTAATAACCGATTAGCATCGCCCTTAGACTTTATGACCGTTCGAATGCGGTTGGGTATTTACTCGACTAAGGATCTACACTATTCAAAGGTAATGCATCGCAAAACTGTCTATTTTGTCTTAAAGTTCATGTAATGTGCATTGTGGGTTATTCGTTAGTGTCTGTTTCATTTTATGCTATACTGTTTCAATGTCATTTAGCTCATGACTATTAGAAGGCCAAGAAAGGACCCTAAATATTATGGTTTACAAAAGAAATTGCTTGTGCTTCTGGATGTATAATAGGCCGCTTCGTCCTTATGAAAAATATAATTTCCACCAGCATTTAATTCACAATGGTAACAAGCTATTTTAAGGCATTTGTTGATATTTTGTAGCATTTAGGCTACCTTCAATATATTAAAAACATCTTAATCCTGAAACTGCCATTCAACCCCAAATCATCAATCATTTAGGAAATTTTATGGAACGTTTCAAAAAGTCTGTGAAAAGTAGTCATCGAATTTTGATTCTTCACTAAAAATTACTCGGGACCAATCTGCTACCGACCAGGAAATGTTAGATTTTGCTCAAATTAACCTGGTTTGCTGTTAACAGTGGCTTTTCCTTTTCCTAGAAGAAAATATGTTCAAATATATTACTACGAGTACACTTTCAAGTTGTTATATGTAATTCAACCTTTATTATTTTTATTATTATATTTTTAAACTTTATTCTAGATTTATGTTTCCTTTTTTAACTGTTAACCTTTTTTGCAAATTTTTATTAATATTCTCCTATTCCTGTCAGAAACTAATTTAAGACGACCCAGGCTTTTACCTAAGATATTTGATGTTTGTTCATAATGCTTAATTACTTTCCACACTGTAGTTTTACCATTGCAAATTCGTCTCTATCTGCTACTTTTCTTAGAAGCGTCTGTGTGTTCAACCTGATCCAGTCGCGAATGTTTTTTAGTCAGGATATTTTTCGTCTACAAGGATCTCTTTTTCCTTCGATTTTACCTTTCATAATCAGCTGCAACAACTTATACTTCTTATTTCTAAGTGTGTGACTCAAAAAAAACCTGCTGTCTTTCTCCTTTTAATGGTGCTCAAAAGTTATCTACCTCTTCCCATTCTGTGAAAAACCATTTCATTCGTACTATGATCGGTCCATAGTACTTTCAAAATTCTTCTAAATTAAAGTTTCAAGCAGTAGTTTTAGGAATATTAATTTTATCCCTCACTTCAAGGATGGTTTTATTGCGGCAATAATTTTTTATCATCAACTCACAAAATTTTGAATTTGTAGAGATATTAGGCACCATTTTATTGAAATAGTACAGTGGATTATTTTGATAAGAAATTAATTGTAGAATATAGTTTGACAGAGTGTCCGGCTGCATCGTTTTCGCAGCCTAATTGTCTTATCTGGTATGGTTGTTAGCAGTTACTTCATACTGTCTTATTATTTAGTTTTTAATCCATATTTTAATGATCCTCATAACATTAATAGTAGCTTGTATAAAATCATATTTGTGATAATATGATAATTATGTGTTGTGATTATATATTATTTAAAATATTGCTTATTTGGCATTATCATCATAACTATTAAAAAAATAATAATAAATTAATAGTCAAACGCATGAATTTGTTATATATTTTCACTTGTCCCATTATATAGTTGTTAGAGCTCGTATTACAACTTTTTGCTCGCTACACAAAAATACTCTTAGATCTTCAGATAACTGAACTTGGAGTAATCACAATTCTTCTTAAACACTGCTCACTCGGATGCTATCCGTTTTTTATTTTGGTGATCCTCATGATAATTTTGATTTTGTTGTCATATTGAAATGAGTTCTTAGGAGGTTGTGGAGCTAAAAAATACGTCGTCTTCTCGGGACTCTCATACCAAACTCTCGATAGGCAACTAAAGTGAACCATATCTCTCAGTATTTAATCGTTTCATGTTCTTTTCAATTCATACCAGTAAATTCATGTCTAGCTCCACATCTCAAAAGGCTCCAGCTTCTTCATAGATGCTTCTGATAGAGTCCAAGCTTCCACTCCGTACGGATAAATCGAAAGTATTTGAGTACCCGACACTTATTTCTTTTTTCGGAAATCGTCTCTTATAAACATATTGTACTGCAGCGAATTGGTTTATTGTACATTAGTGAAAACTGTTTATATTTACTTACGCTAATTTTTACTTAATGAACGTAGTATAATTCCATGTAGATGCCATACAGATAGTAAAATAATATTAGAATATTGTTTGCAGTATACTTGACAATAAAAGTACCTACGGTAAAAGAAGTGGTACAGTAGGCGGATACTGTAGACTAGCGCGAAGCTTCATACTATGTTGTTTTCTGTATTTTTCAACTGTAAATAATATTTTAAAATTGAATAAAGTAATTTTCCGCAAATCGCCAGGAAATTTTAACATTCCTGTCAAAATTTCTTAAAGAAAAAGTCAAGACTTCCTTACTGTAAGGAAATGATATTTCCGTACAGTTGTTAGTGTTCTACATAAATGATAGAAAACACATTGCTTATAAGGAATTAATTTATATTTTGAAAACATCAAGTCATTGCTGAATACATTTTTAAGATCAATTTGTTATATTTACAGTAATTTGACAGTTAGTACAATTATTGAACATTGGAGGAACACTCTTAGAACTATGAGAAACATTTTGGACAACA